AAAGTAGGTAAATGCAGAGACTTTGCTCGACTTAGATCTACACAAAGAACCTGCCGAAGTATACTCGGTACACACGGACTTACATCACTTTGAGACTACCGAGAGGAGAGAGGACCAGATTGTTGTATACTAAATCATCTAAATGCAGGTGACTTTTAGTGTCCAGTAGTTGACTGCTTTTTATACCCTCTTTACGTTGTGTTAACAACCTCTTATGAGATTCTCTTAACTCTTCTGTGCACTTCGGCTAGTTGGGCCACAAACATTTCAACCTAGTGCAGCCAGATTAACCGACAGTTCGACCGTCGTTTCCGACGATGTCCACCGTGTGCTCCACAGTAGGGTGGGAGCAGGGACGGTGACTTGCGCGTAAACTCGTTTCTAGTGAAAGTGGACTTTCGCAGCATCCACCGCACTCTCCCTTCTTCCCACGCCTGTGGTCGGCGTCATGACAGAGCCAAGAAGACCGGAGGCGGTCTGATTAAGGAAGACCCGTCACCTGATGCGAATCCCCGAGAAGTCGACAACTCCAAAGAAAAGCGTGATTGTAGCGCCTACGGCCACTGCAGGGCCTTAATGGCAATTAGAATTTTGAAATAATCGAGTCTTTTACTTTAGGTTAATGGGCAACTATAATTCTGACCCAGGAGTCCGTACCATGAACCTGCTTCCTCCTCTGGGGACACGAGTCAAATTTGGAATTATTTGCTAATTAGTCATCAGGAGGAGCATTGGAGTCTTTAGACTGCGGAGGCTGGGATTGTTATTGGCTTCCCCTACCCGTAAAAACCGACTGTTCTTCGTAACAGATCTACTCTAACAGTCTCAAGAGAATTCATGACCCAATTGCAGCAGTTCACTCCCAATCTTCACTTTGCGGAGAGTTGACTTATTATGTCAAGCTGGCGGGAGGGTAACATGTTAGCCGAATGGGTTGACTTCACTTACAAGGCTGCTAGGAAAGCGTAAGATTCTTACTTCCTTACGGAAAACGACCACTTAGGACATTACCTTGAGTCAGGTAAAACTCAGCTAGCATGACCCAACAAGGCAAGGGTACTTCCGTTTCCCCGTTACGTTTTCTATACTGTGTTCCCCGGCAAGCTGGTACCAGTGTATTCAATAGCGTCCCTCAACCGGTCACGCGGTAGATACACCGGACAAACATGGGAGGGGACTAGATCGGATTCCGGAAGACGTTATTGAAAATGCACACCCATAACAAATGCCAACATTCGGGATGTGATGGGACACACGGTTGTCGGCTAACGTAGCGCAAACCGGTATCGGTGCCGTTCTCCTCCCCTCCCCATACTTGCTGTTGTTTAAAATCCTGGTCAAGTGTTTGTTGTGGACCAGCGGGTTTTGTGGTTTGCCTAGGTACCGTGCGTGACCGATTTCATGAAATGTTGGCCAAAATTCCGGAATGCGTTTCCGATTAGGATGGATTACTTAAGTGGAGTTGTTATATTGATTATCATGCAGCATAACCCTATAACATTTCGGACTCGGCAGGGTGTCGGCTTTTGAAGTCACTTATTTTTGATCTCCTGCAGAGACCACACAGTAAAAATGACTACTTAAGTAGCATGCATTTTTCCTATTGATTTTCGATAGTTTTATAAGTTTAAATATATTTTACAGAAAACATGCACAAAAATATGCTTTCTTTTACTCCTTTTGTAGAGAATCACATTGTCTTTATATTTTATGCCCGAAGAAAGTGTATATTAAGGTTTTCGAAAAGTTTCTCAATTACCGAATAATTTTCAGCCTGATCTGCTATTGCATCAGCGTTTATCAATTTCAGTCTACAAGGTGCATGCTTTCCGCGTAAGGAAAATCATATATTCCTCCATGTCTTTAAAAAGATACCATATAGAGTTCATGCAATTTTGCAATGGATCCGGACTGTGTCGTACATTTCATGAGGAGCATAAATAAACGGACATGTGCGGTCTTGCATGCATGGACATCGCACGGTGTTAAAAATCTCAGAATTAGGAACTTTTTTAAAATCTTAATATACACTTTCTTCGGGCATAAAATATAAAGACAATGTGATTCTCTACAAAAGGAGTAAAAGAAAGCATATTTTTGTGCATGTTTTCTGTAAAATATATTTAAACTTATAAAACTATCGAAAATCAATAGGAAAAATGCATGCTACTTAAGTAGTCATTTTTACTGTGTGGTCTCTGCAGGAGATCAAAAATAAGTGACTTCAAAAGCCGACACCCTGCCGAGTCCGAAATGTTATAGGGTTATGCTGCATGATAATCAATATAACAACTCCACTTAAGTAATCCATCCTAATCGGAAACGCATTCCGGAATTTTGGCCAACATTTCATGAGATCGGTCACGTCTTTCGACGTGCTAACTACCTGCGCCCACTCTCGCCTCCGGTCTTATTGACTTTTTCATACACCGGATCCAGATGAGGGGAAAGGAGGGAGTGTGGTAGACGCTGCGTAAGTCCGCTACCACTATAAACGAGTTCACATGCAGGTCACCGTCCCTGCTCTCACCCTGCTGTAAAGCACAAGGTGGACATTGTCGAAAACAACGATTGAATTATCGTGTATTCGACAAGCACGCACTTGAGAAACTAAGATCACCAACACATAGAACCGCTAGTATATATCTGTGGAAGGGAGTCGCCAGAATGAGCTCTCCGACACTCGTCCTCCGGAATTAAGCAGACTGCCTAATCAGCTTTTAGGCATCGGAACCCCATTTTGCTCTGCCGTCCTGATGCGACCTATTAGAGGATCTCTAATTAAGAAGGCGTCTGTAACGTGCGAGACGCAAATGCCCTAGTCTGGGGGCAAGGGTAGGTTAGCTGACGATGGCAAATAACCCATAAGAATCGTTCTAGTCGCCCTTGTCCTTGTCGGTCATGCACTCCGAGTGCTGACTTGTAATCGTCATGCGACAGTCTACGTACTCTGGACCGGCGTCCCACGCTCCCAAGTGCTTACATATTAACGATCGCAGCTGAAAGGCCACTAGTCCGCAAAATAAATCACGAAGTATTTGGTTTGACGAGAAAATCGCTCTGTACCGAACTCCAAGTTTCCCTGTCAGTAACCACCGTATGGTTGGTAGACGACAGATGAGAAGCAAGAGAAGCTGCTTTGACCTCCCTTTTTTATATGTGCACTACGGACGAAAACACAAGGGCGATGAAACATCTGTGCAAGTGAACTGGGCTTAGTAAGATTGGCAATATACAAAAGAATCCGATAGAAAGTTGGTTTGTAAACCACACGTCCACATGCCACCTGTATAGTTTGCGATGGTTGTATAAAGTCCACTAAGTTCCTCAAAATAGGTGACAAAAGAGCAGTCCATATGGTTCTTTTTCGTACTAACAGGAGAGATGGTTTCCAGTCAGGAGACTTTCACCGAGATCCCGATAACTTAACAAAGAAGTCCTCTACGGGGAGCCAGCACGCCAGTTCGCAGGAACTGACTCGAAACTAAAGTACATACCTGTCCACATGCAAACCCATTTACGCAATCATTCCCATTTTACAGCACACCAGTCGAAGTCTGATTAATTTCGTTTGGCATCATATCGCATTCAGGTTATAGCTACGATAACATAGCATTCAGATCCTGCAATTACCGCGGAACCGACTCCTCATGACGTACCAAGTCTTATGGCAGTGCCTCCGCAAACACAACGTCAGGACGTTCGTGGCGGGCCTAATGCGGACACAACTGTGATCGACCAGAGAGAACGTGATAACCAGTCCGCCCGACGACAGGTCGGCGAGCGATCACATCGAACAGCTACCGCACGGTCTCAACAAATCTCCACGCTGCCAAAAAAAAGCGGAGAGGCAGTTCAGGAGAAGACGCGATCGCTGGAAGTCTACCAGCCTGACGTTTCGGAGTCTCATTCGGACCCATCATCTGAGATGTGGGTAATTATGACAGAGGCACAAGGAGTGGAGCACGGTTGTGGACAGAGCAACTACGTTGGAGAGACTGGGAAATTACTCCATACGTGGTTGACCGAGCATGCAGTAATAACTCTCATGTCTCGGCTCATCCGACAGGACCCGGCTACACCTTCACGTCTGGTGAGATTGCAACCACGTAGGCCGCAAACCTGCTTGACTAATGGCTCTCTGGCCAAGTCGAGTAACAAACGCGATGATCACCTCCATATTCTGTGTCGACTGTCTAGTCGAGAAATCATCACGCCAAAAATCAATAAAGGTGGTGGCATTACGCCAGTTAACGACGGTTCGGACTAACAAGCCATTACCGCATCAAATACAGGCCCCAGCGATGAATATCAGACTGCTAATTGTAGTAGGCATGTGGTGGCATGGCAACTGCGTCTTATAAACAATGCGATCCTTTTGCCTCCACCAACCCCTATCTGCAACCGTATCTGATAATGGATCCGAGTGAGAATCCAAAATACTAGGCAAATAAACCTCTTGTTTCAGCAATCGCATCTTCTCCTTCTAAATATCGGCTTGTTCACCGGTCACATTCGAAAATTTTTCATAATAAGTGCATCATACGGGTAGCGAAAAAAACATAAAAATTGATGACGACAAAACTAACCGACAAGCAAAAGCATGCAAAAAGCTGTGCGGTTTTTGGTGTAGCAGGTGCTCCGAGAGTGAAAAGCTAGCCCATCTGTTTGGAACCTCCGCCAGTTAATAAAACTATTTGACGCCACGCCCCCTCCTGACCGCACTACGTGAAGAGTTCCCCATCATATGACTAAACGGTAACAGTCTCTATCTTTAAGGAAATAGTTCCGGTGCAAACAGTTAAGGGGTCTACACGTGCAAATTAACGCATGCCACTAACAAACGCAGTGAACTACATGCAAGAAGAGCGGACTGCTTTCATCAGAATATAATTGACTACTGAAAGACGCCAGGATTTCCAAGGCCATGAACAAGGTTCAAAACTTATCGACCGGGGGACTGTACACATTCACAGGAAAAAAGACAAATTGGAAAAAAACTAAGTGCTAGAGGAAGTCTCATCAGACGAGCCCTTGGGTGTTGGTCTGAGAACTCGGTCAACTAAACCGGCCTCCACTGCCTCGTCTGCCGTCATGAAGTAGTCCCGATCCATCCACTTTTCGATCACCTAGGAGGCAAACAAGAAGTCGACAGCATAGAATAGGAAAACAAAGAAGGACATATTGCTGGCTTATAAAAATTGTTGATGATCGGATATGTGGTCCTACTGGAAAAACGGGACGCAAGGACACCTATAACAAAGGGTTGGTGGTAATGGAAGTTTATTGGATGGCGTAAAAGAAATTGATAGATAGCTGTTTCCGGGACACAAAAATAAAAAAACATAGGTAAGCCATTAACTTGTTTAAATACACAAATAAGGCGTACAAACGCGAGCACGCAATCTGGAAGACTGGAAATCGGGAGCCGTAAACAGATGAAAAAAAATGAAAACCGAGCGCATTGGTTGGATACTCTAAGCGAACTGCTCCCAGCTCGCGATGAACAATCACACTGGAGAAGAAAGTGAGGAGAATATACCGTTAAGTACGACTCTCGTGATGGCCGCGACTGAAAGCATAATTATATCTGACAATGTTGATGGCCTAACCCTAAACCTATGTCTAAGCCAAGTCGTAGCCGTAACCCTAACCCCCAATCCTAATCCAAACCCTAACGCATAACCCCCCCCCCCCACCCCAAGCCAAAAGCTAAACCTAGTGGTGATATTTTATAAAGGCGCTAGAGGGAAGGGGCGAAAAGGACGGGGTTAAATTACGCCTACCCAAATGACATAAGTAGGTACTTCATAGACGTAAAGAGTAGGTGGGGCCACAAACTCGATCGTTACCAAAAATTTACGCGTAGTATAGGGTACTGTGATGAGCATTCTTGCAATTTCGCCAACCCTAAGGTTGTCAAGGTATGCCAAGAAGGAGTTGGTGAGACGACAATACAACTCTCAAACAGCCTTGACCAATGGCACGGAGGGGAGTGACAATGGTAGGCGAAGGTTTCCAGCCAACCGCAGTTAAGAGATTTTTGAACGACAACAGAGAAAGCAAAAGAAAAGTGTGCATAAACGAAAAACGCAGAGATGCGCAAAAACAGCCATGAATTCGAAGACTGAGACAAAAACCGTAAGTACGTAAAATTCGGCCAGGTCCCATTTTTAGAAGAGGTTTGGAATAATCTAAGGGAAAGCAAAGCCGTCAGAAAAGGGATGAAGCTGAGAAACTCATAATACGCGGCAGGTACATCAACAAAAAATGGCGACGTGTACTGAATCTAATTTATATTGTCTATCTATCAGCAACGATGGTTTGGCCGGGCCTAGAGTCTATTACGGCTGTCAGAACTTGTTTTATTCACGAAAATTGAAGACCCTTGGTCTGGCCTCTTCTCCGGGCCTAGCGTTACCACGTTCGCCAGTTTTTATTGGACCACCATGACAGCTACGCCAATCCGAACACGCAGCTGGAGGATTACGCGGACGAGTTTTCCTTAATTACTGGACCCCCGGAAAGGGTGAACAGCAACTGCATCGTCAATAGAACATGTCTCAAGTCGGCGGAGGAGCGTCTCATTTTAGACATAGTCTATGAACAGAAACCGCAGTATTTTCCTAGGCCATTAACTGACGAACATCTCGATCCTTCTTGCGTTCATAGCGCATAGGGGCTAAAACACACATACACACCCGTAAGGCAGGACAGCTTTGACCATGGCATTAAGAAGAAACCATTGGCATTTACAAGGCGGACAGAAGATGTCATTTTCGTACCATATGCAGGTTCTTCCTAATATAAGCAGATCAGTAACAAGAAACCCAGTCAGACGAGACTGTCGGTCGTCCCTGGCCTCCAGTCCCCCTGGAGAATGGGGAACACTAATTGTGCAGTACTGCCCGAATTTCTGGGAGGCGAAGCCTATGTGGCTGGGAGCAAGCTACGAGTCTCCAAACAGGACGATTTCATCGACAGAGTTAAAATCGTCGTATTTCTCGAGTGCCATGGACAGAACTGAGTCGATCAACCAGATAAAGGTGACGTGCGAGAAGTCACCGATACGAGAGGCAACAGGCAGTGCCAATGGATGAAATCCGATGTAGAAGTACATCCTAAAGGAAATACGAAACAGAGCAGAGGTATTTGCAGAGGCAGGTGGGTCCAGCATAAAAATGGGGTGTCGATATGTACACCCAGGCCCTAGTTGGTTCTCATCGGACATCGCAAGGCAGGAGGCGACGATTTCAGCGACAACTTCAAAGCGGTTGATATCGAGGCAGTATTTGCACGGGGATCTGGCATCCTTATCAATGACCAGCGTGATGACAGCATCCTTTCTGCCTGAGGACAGTCTGCTCTCTCAAATTCAGATCGGGAGGACGTATAGCCCCCCTAGCTAAGTACGGCTAATAATGCTTGTGGAAGGCAGCTCTCGCTGTGCACCCCAGAGCAACTGTTTCCTGGCTGTTCGCCAAAGTTCGAATCCCAGGACAAATACTGGATCCTCCCATGATAAAGCACCTGGTTTTCTTTATGGATTTATCGGGGATTTGGCGGAAACTTCTGCTCGATGATTGACAAATAAGGCTACCTCCGTGAAGTCCTTAAGACCAATGAATGTATCAGTACTTTAACGACGTAACGCAGACATCTGATCAGCGCAAATCATCTGAAAGAAAACCATACGTTACGTCGAGGTGAAAAGGAAATAGTTTCGTGAGTTCCGGCTCCAAGATTTTCGGCTTCTAAAACTTCGCTCCACAAGCTCAGGACGCGTGGTGTAGCCAAAGGACTAACCTCCAGACAAAGAAGTGACTGTCTCGTTTATAAGATTGATTTTGAAAACGTATGAGACAATCGAAATGCGCAAACCGAGCGGTTACGAAAGATCCGGCTTCACTAACACTATCTGGTGGTGCAAAGGTCACAATCTAATCGTCAACAGGCGACTCAAATAGGTGAGAATGCTCACTCTTCTAGCTCTGGTGGTACCGGCGCTGTGTGTGAGGTCAAACGCGGAGTTACCGACTTGTTCACCAATGTACATTCAGTAAACTGTAAAATGGAACTCCTAATCACCAGTCTATCAGATTCTACGCAATCCCCTTGATAGAGCAGACCAGTCCGGAATAGGGTACAACGGAGATGATGGTACTTGGCCAAGCAATTGCAGTTAGGCGCAACGTATTCAGACCACACCAAGTTAGAGACCAAGCAAAAAGACTGATGAACGGCGGGCGAATCCCCCTAGTTGCTTAAAGGCAACAGAAGTGGGAGCCGGTAGGAGGCGAGGGTTGTCCGAGGTCAGCTCAGCTACAAGACTTGTGATTTACATGAACATACGGTGTTTGGTAGACCTAAGAAATCGAACAACCGACACTGTTGACAATAAGTGGTCTAATAACCCCCCCTGGCCATCTCTCGATGTGAGGATAGTAAACCGAATGATGAAACTTTAGAGACGCACCCCCATGCAGCATGACCGACTGACTGCAGGGAATCCCGATGGATAATCAAAAGCAAGGGCAAAATCCACGAATTTCGCTGTAATTGGGGAGACCAGGAGACTTTCATCACAACACCTTTTACACAGAGGTCTGTCGAGTTTCTCAAAGCTTAAAGTAACGACGGCATTGTTACTTTGGGCAAATTTCCTGCTTCCAGAGGCTGGTTCAGAAGCCCACACATGCACTCAGCTAAAAGGGTTGAACAGCACTTGTGGGTTCGCGCTGAAAGGTAGATCCGGCCAGGTATCCTGCTGATCTTCGGTCTGCTTATCGTCAAATGGATATCCTTCAAAGATGGTGGGCTACAACCAGTTAAATTTGGATAAGGGAGTGTCTTAAAACAGGACGACGGTTGAGAGGGTTTAGACTGATGGTTTCATAATATGTGCGAAATGCTCCACCCACGGAGTGCCGTGTTCGACATAAACACTACTATCGCACCTTCTCCGACGGTGAAGGCAGAAACTAGGGCTACCTAATTCTCTGATTCCGATACAGACTTCTCACATCCTCATCCGAGATCTCCAACTACCGTCGTGCCATGAAGAGCAAATGGTCTCATGACGCAGGCCCCTGACGTTTGAAAGGCGAGTAGCTCTAGTATTACCAGTCATTCTGACAGCCTTATTAGAGATCTAACCCTTTTGGTGAGGCCTTTTGTGTATTACTATCTCTTTGACGGTACTATGTAGATTATGGCTAAATCCAAGATATATCTCTTTTACTAAAGGGGTTTTAAATGCGCTGGCTATCTGTACTAGTGCCACGAACGATTACAACACCGAGTCCACCAGTGTTGACAGCGGTATTACTGTAGTAGAGGCAGTATAATTTATCTGGACCCTGACAAATGCATTTGGATGAGCAGACAACCTCCACTTTTCTTTCTTCTGAAGGGGTCCCTCGCATAGTAACCAGCCCATCCACTGGCATAGGCCCGGATCCATCAGCTCCCACGGGACCCTATAGTATGAGTTGGCGTCTGTGATGAAGACACTCCTCACTGCAGAAGACAACGTAACTGTCATCTAAGATGCGGTAAACCAGATAAATTCGCCAATCAACTTCAGGTTGGAAGTGGTAAGAGCAGGTTCGCTCCAGTTCTTAGACGTCCTTATGGGCAGAAGACCTGGCCGTAAGGCTCGAGGGAGCGTTTATCGGAAGAAAACTTGGTCTGAACAATATACGAACTTTAGCAGTTTCGCATCTTTCCAGTAGAAACGTGAGCTAGTTTGTTGTTTGGCGCAAAGGACCATGACAATTTGTTGGGCAGACAAAACTGACGAGTAACTTACAAATATTCACGATCTGCACCGCCAGAACGGGTATCCTGGCAGGTTGATTGTTTAAAATATTATTAGGAGACCAGCAAAACCTATCGCACTGACAGAAAGAGTTCTGGTACTATTCTCGGCCAATCCTATCTAACGCGAGTGTGTGAGTGGGTGCCAGCTCAGACAACGTTGATGTGCATTTAGCCCTCTACTTTCTCCTGTGAAGTTTGTTATGTTGATCGTAGGAGTCTGCGCTTACAGAAAAGAACATAGAGGCATTTACCGACATGATTGAGAAAAGGCGAACTCCGGAGCATAAGCAGGGCGTCGTTGATTCCAGGTATCATATGGACCCTAACGAAATTCTTCGTGTGATTTGTGATATCCCGCCGAATTGCTCTAAATGACTGAGTCGGCGTCTACTAACAACAGTAGAAGCGACTATTATCAGGTCACGCAAGCCGATCTTGTGTGCGCAGAAGAATCGCCTGGAATACCTTGTTTACGATGGTCAAAGGTCGGTTAACTGCATGTAATTCCCGCACCCTCTCTCCCTCATGACACGACTCTTCCTAGCCCCTTGCAAACATCACACTTGTCTGAAAAGTGAACTTTAGTCTATCCCTTTCACCACTTGCATGTTCTGTTTGACCCCGTTCCCCATGCAGATGTACTGGCCCGATGAAAATTTATCGAGAGAAAACGTAAGGTCGCCAATTAGTCTTCTGAAAAAAACTACATGACGGCAGTTTAGCTATTTTGTTTGTTTGTTTGTTTGTTTTGTTTGTTTGTTTGTTATACTAGTTGCCGTCTGGTCTTTGAGATGGTGTCCGAACCTTAAGGTAACATCAGCAAAAAGAACTCATTCAATGGTGATCCTGTGTTGCCCTATTATAGTACCGACAGACGATGGAGCGGTTAGTTTCTCAAACTTCAATCCTCCGCACCCCGCTAACATAGCCAACACATATTTGCCAGACGCGAGTTCGCTTGGTTTCTAGCTAACCTGTCTTGAAGCTCGGCCAATTACCCGCCATCATAGACGCACCGGGCTGGCCGCAGTTAGGCTAATAGGCAAGTCTCGTCCTCCTGTGATTCCTGTCCTCCAAAGTAAAAAGTTACAAACAGGAAGATTAAGTGGGATAATTCCGCTGGGAAGTATATGCTCAAATCAGGATATCAGCCGATGAAGTACAGCAGAGCAGCAGTCACAAGGAACCCTTAAAGGAATTCAGTCTAACGAAGATACGTACACAATTTCCCCAAACGCCAACCGTTGAATACTTTTACACATTCGAGGAAGACAAGTTGTCTTTCGAAGCCTCGATTTCTATCATGAAAGACGGCTCCTAAGCAGAGACACCGACTGAGAACATGGCACTGCTATTTGAGCGAAAACGGCATTGGAGATGAACAAAAATTGCTATAGACAACATTGTCTTCATCTGCATTTTCTGCTGGCCTTAGACACAGAAAAACTGGAGTCGGTTGGTTGGCGTTGGCTAGAATAAGCAAACGCCAGGAAGTAAACAGCTCTTCTAATTCATGATAGAAGGGATTCTGAGGAGAAGAACACGGCCAGGACTTAAATATGGGCTTGGATTTTACAAAATGTGAAAAGACTACCTAATAGGTGAAAATTGGCAGAGGATAACTTCTGTTGAAATGGCTATCTACCTCTCCTCCTTTGCATTGGCGGTGGTCGCATAACTACACACAATACAGAATACGAACAAGGATGGGAAGAAAATGAGTCACCCTTTTTCATCTACAATCAAACAAATCGATTTTGGTCGAAAAGGCTTTGGCTTGTGGACAAAAAAGGAACATCGGGCCTTTTGCAACCAAAGAGAATGTATATAAGCTAAAGAACAACCGCTACGCCGCTTTAAAAGCAAGTGTCAGGGCAACCGCGAAGCTGCCGGTAAGCAAAGTCAGGGCTCGAACGGTAATGAGCATATTAAGGGGGAATTTTGATGATGAATTGGATAAAAATGAAAATAAGACTTAAGGAACAAGAAATATGCCAATCTTAGAGCAGTGTGCATTGTATCATATACGCCTCATTAACACTCACTTCAAGCGGCTGTTTTGTGTGGTTGGAATAGATGCCGTTCAACATCTTCCGCAACTTGATTATTTCTTCAGCCTGGATTTGAATGTCAGTGGCTTGGCCTAAAAAGTAACTCAGCAGATACATCATACCCTGTGCTGCACCGGAAGGCTGATGAATCATTATTCGCGAATGAGGTAAGGCATATCGATGACCAGGAGCCCCAGCTGTCAATAAAAGCGACCCCATGCTGCTTGCCTGTCCAATGCACCACGTATGAATGGGAGGACGAATATACTGCATAGTGTCGTAAATTGCCAAACCTGCTGTGACAATGCCACCTTTTACACTAGAAGAAATCGGAAATCAAACATACCAGGGCTATTGATATACAAATGAATCGGAAGGCGCTTTTCTTCTGATTGTAAAAACAACAGTTGGGCAACCGTAATACTAGCTACTTCGTCATTAATGGGTCCCATGAGGCACACTATCCTATCTTTAAGAAGACGAGAATAAATGTCATAGGCTCGTTCCCCTACGCCCGTCTTGTCCAAAACAATAGGGACCAACGGATTGCTTCTCCAGCAGGAGAGATGTAGACGTGCAGCGAGAGCATGTTTAAAGCCCAAATAAAAGGCCTCTTTAATTAGAAGGGAACTATGTGGTCGCAAATAACGCAACATTAGAAACTCCAATGGCAGAGACAAGCGCTAAACACTATTTCGAATATGCCGGCATATAACCCACACTGTCCGAAGTCCGCAAATGGACCTTAAAAGCAGCGAAAGAATCAAATTTACTGTCAAGTAGAAAGCTGGATATAACCAACCATTTATGAGCAACATTAAGTAGGAATTGGGAATAGCACAATACTAAAACCTATCGACCGCGCGCGTTTCGAATTTGGTTTCAAATTTTCGTCCTCCGAGGGGTTCATATTCTTCGAGATTTCTGCACTCTGGATGCTCCTGCAGTCAACCGGATTTAAGAAAATTGAATTACAGACAGCAATATTTGCATCGTCACCAATTGACAACACCACCTTCGACACTACCAGTTCTGCATACGAGGCTAAAAAGACCAATCTTCCAGCAAACGAAACGCTTAGAACAACTTCTACAAAGGCTGAGTCTCACTCCGAAACTTAGAAATTAGCTGTACCTTTGCTTCAAAGCATTAGCGTAAATTTCTGTTAACTGTAGTACCGTTAAATTCGACTAGGTTTCTGTTGTCTGAAGTCTCGAAGCATTCGCTTAGATTTCCGTTGCCTAAAGCTTCCCTGACATCTGAAAGCCTTAGGCCGTCTTTTGATTGTGTATGTCTCCTGTTGCCAACCTCTTGGCCGTTGCTGTATCCTTGACTTTGGCGCATAAAGACATGGGAAATGTAGAAGTGTACGATTCATCAGTTCCGCGGGATGAGAAAAAGGTGTGGGGCGCGGGAGTCGATCCTCCGACCCTCGCCTCACGAGGCGAACGCCTAGACCCCTCGGCCATCGGCAACGAAGGGGGTGATCTCAAAGAATATTAATTGCATCAACTCCATGGTGGGTGAATGTGTCGCATTTGGCCGTGAACATAGTGCACTAGCAACTCCATGCGGACCAGCGTCGATTCACGTCGGGCAGGGAGGATCTAACGAATACAGTACGCCAGAAGTGGTTCAAAACATGACGGAGGTGGCCCGCAACGCAAATTATCCCGGCAAATTTGCTACAACTACACAAAATTTTCTACCGGATGCCGAACCTTCAAATTGTGGTACGCGGTGTAAATATTGTCGAGATCTCGCGTTAAACATTACGTCGTTGAAGACGAACATGAGCCTCCTTATAGATCTCATTGCATTGTTGTAAAAGTATGACAAATTCAGGTGAATTGATGTATTCAGCAGCAGCCAACAGATAGTTTCGAAGCTGACAGAGTTGACTAACAACAACCCACTAGTAGAGGGATCACCGTTTCAGGAGATCGCTGGCTGCAGAAATAAACAGAGTGCTAAGAGAAGAAGTAAACGAAAACATGAACATACAGCCTCACCCTCACCAAGAGCGATGGTAAACGACACTCCAAAATCGCAAACTAAGTCGAGAATGGATAATGGCAGTACACACTCATCATTGATAACTACCCAGCTGAATAACAATGACCAGCTGACTGGCAGAGTAGAAGCTGTCCGATCTCCATCACAGAAGAAGGTAAAAGGATTCGACATAGAAAAGACTACCGCATGGACGGAAACCTCAGAGGAAATCGCGGAGAATATTACAAGGCATGATATTAATCCGCCGCAAAAGAGCAGAAAGCAGACGATCACCGCTCCCCGCAATGTGACCGATGAGAAGCAAGGAATTAATAATAAGACTCATACCGTTCACATGCAACTGAGGTCACATCAAAAGAAGCAGTTAAATCAAAAGGGACTGATGACTGAAAAGGGAGAGACGGAAATCGGACGACTTCGGAGTACTCGAAGAAAGGAACTTCCTAGGGTGGAAAAGCAGAGCTCGTCTGAGCAATCGACAGAAACCTCCAGCGCCGGAGTAGACACAAACGCGGCAAATGCGAATATTCTCTTTATTGACATAAAAAACAGGAGCATTATTGTCGCAAACACGATGCCATGAGTTACAGAAAAGATCCCTGGAATAGATGGCAACCAGAATATCGTCATGAATGGTTCGCCAGAAACTCCCAAGTCACCAACATCACGCAACCAAGACCGGCCGCTCCGAGAACAGTGCCTAGTAATACAGGGACTTCAGGAGCCTGAAGCAGACACACCTAAAGGACGCGTATTAGCTGATCTCGGCTTGTTCCAAGGTCTTCTAAACACACTGCTTCAACCCAACGAAGAAATTTCAGTGTTGAAAGCCCTCAGACTCGGAAAGCGCTCTACTGAACCCGCTATTCCACCGCATCCTAGGCCCCTTAAAATTGTTCTGAGTTGCAAAGAGCATGTTGATCTCATCCTCTCAAGACGGTATAGGTTAGAATATTCCCACCAATGAGTTTTTTTCAGCCGGATTACACACCACCGGAGCGGATAAAACGCCAACAGTTAGTGCAGGAGCTAAGGCTACGACAATTGAATGCCGAACAAGGCCTGGTTGTCTACAACAACTGCATAATCGAGCGACCGTCCCGGTTCATATGGATACGGCCCGTGTGGATGTCGCAACAGCCGAGGCGATTGGCAAAGGCGGCGTCATTGTTGGCTTACCAAAGGCAAGAGAGCTAAAATGCTTATATTCCAATGCGCAAAGTCTGCTATCTAAATTAGATGAGCTTAAGATCTACGTTAACCAAACCTTACCCGATGATATATCCATAACTGAAACGTGGTTGTCAGCGAGCGTAGACGATCGGGAAGTCGCTTTATCTGGTTATCACTTGTTCAGAAAGGACAGGTTGGGACGTCAAGGTGGAGGTGTGCTAATGTACGTCAAATATGGCCTTTCTGCGTCAGAAAAAGAGGGACAGCTCGCGCGCACAACTGAAATAATTTGGCTCACCGTCAAAACGCCGGGGTCACAACCTCTCGAGATCCTGACGGTCTACCGCCCACCGAGGAACGACCCGCAATCAGACAGTAGTCTAATAGAGTAATTAGAAGCGATTTCGATCCGACCCAATGTCCTGATTATGGGCGACTTTAACGCTCCGAATATCGACTGGAATCAGACTTCTGCCCTGGGCTCAGAATTCAACTTTGATCGCCGCCTCCTAAAATCTGTACAAAGGTCGCATCTCACACAGCACGTCTTACCCCCAACCAGACTACGTGAAGGACAACTAGCTAACTGCTTAGACCTTGTATTGACAAAGGCACCGGAAAGCGCTGATGTTGTAAACTGTCTACCCCCTCTCGGAAAAAGCGACCATGTAGTCCTACAGTGGGAGTATTCTCTCTTCTCTGTACACGATCAAAGCATCGTGATTAGACGCAACATATGGCGTGGTGACTTTAACCAAATGCGTCTCGACATGCGTCGTAGAGACTGGAGAGCAGCATTTACGGGTGTGTCCTCAAGGACTGGTTAGAACTTAAGGCCGTGCTGAATGGATTTATCACCAGATACTGCCCTATGTCGAAAAAGAAAATCACCAGCAAGCACCGATGGCTAAAGGATTCACTGAACGTTGGAATAAACTGTAAGCAAAGGCTGTGGAAAGCATATCTTGGGGACAAGAAAATTGAATCAAGAAATAAGTACAAGACTTAGCGGAATAGGGTAAAGTGTCTTGTTTACAAAGCCCGCCAACACTTCGAGGGTAACCTTTCAAACTGTGCATGAGAAAATACAAAGCTTTTTTTCAACTACATAAGACAATGTACTCGCAAAAGGGATCCCATCCCTATGCTAAAAATGATGATGGCGTTGAACTTTACAAGGACGACGAAAATGCTGAGCATCCGGCCGCTTCTACTCGACTTCATCAGGTCCTATCTGTCCAACCGATATCAGAAAGTCATGGTCGGTAATAGCTACTCGACACCCCACTCGATCACGAGTGGCGTACTTCAAGGCACGGTCCTGGGTCCGCTACTCTTCCTTCTGTACATCAATGATATTTCGACTGAACTCGGAAATTCGCAAAATTTTACTTATGCCGATGACCTCAAGTGTGTTTACTCATACTCTAAGGACACCGCAAATGTTTGTGTTGAAAAAATTAATGCCGATTTACTACGCTTAAGCAGATGGCGTTCGACATGGCAGATGGAGTTTACATCATCCAAGTGTAGTTTCATGTCTTTTGGTCCTACCAAACTTCCTGGTCCCATAATTTTTCAGAATAACCCACTCTCAGAATGCCTCACCATAAAGGACCTAGGTCTAAGTTATACAAATAAACTTGCTTTATCACCTCATGCAAATAGAATCTCTGCCAAAGTCGCGCAGATATGTGGATTCATATCGCATAATTTTTTCCTTCCGGAAATGAAGCTAAGACTTTATCAAATGTTTGTTCTTCCAGTCCTCGAATATTGCTGTCCTTTCTTCGGTTTAATGAACGCCTGCGACCGTAATAAAATCGAAAATGTTCAGAGGGTTTTCACCCCGAATCTGTTCTCTCAAGCTTCGTCCAGTATTTCTTATACTCAGAGATGTCAGTTGGCGAACATAAAGTTTTTGTGGGTTAGAAGACACGAAGCTGGCCTTTGCTTCCTTTTTCGCATCAACTCTAGCTCCAGTCTTCCGCACACTGACACTCTCTCTCCGAGAGATCGGTCTTGTGCCACGCGCAACTCCTGCATGGTGATTCCGCCGCCTCTTTGCACTACATCTAAGCGCTCCCTCTTCTTTGCTTCCAAATATGCCTTCCTTTGGAATAACCTTCCGCCTGAAATTAGATTATCGCCTAAGTTACCGGTATTCAAGTCGAAATTACGCAACCATCTTACACCGGAAAGCATAAAGGCACTGTTAACGGTCTCATTCCCGAACACTCAGCTTCTTGACTTCGAGAAGGGT